GCCCATGGCAGGGGGTGGCACTGGATGGGCTTTAAGGTCCCTTCCAACCCAAACCATTCTGGGATTCTATGCCCCCTGCACTGTGCACACCGCGGTGGGAGCAGCCTGGCAAGGTGACCTCCAGCAGAGCCTGAAGCCCCGCTGTGCTGGCCACACACTTATCCCCTCCAGCCCTCGGGCACCCAGGGGGATGCTCTCACACTGACTGGCCAATACAGCCCTTAGCAGGGTCCTGTCCTCCGCTTTCCTAGCTCCATGCAGACACCACTCCAACAAAACCAGCGAGACCCCAGCACTGGGCAAGAGACCAGCAGCTCCCTGCACGTGATGGGTGCCCAGCCAGGGCAGGACAGAGGACAAAAGGGATGCGACAGGCAGGACAGAGAACAAAAGGGATGCGACAAGCAGCCCAGAGCATGCTCAGAAGAACCCAACCCCAAAAAAGCCAAAAGCTCCCCCAGCGAAGCCCCAGGAGAACCCACCTTCACGTAGGAGTTGCATGTCCGGCACTCCTTCCCCATCAGACCTTTTGCTTCCATGACTGGAAAGGAACCGGAACAGTCAAGCCCCAAAGGGCAGCGAAAGCATCTTCCTACGCCGCAGCGCTCTGCTCCATGGGGTGCCCCATCCTTGTGCCTCCTTCCCCGACAGGATCCTGCGCACGCCTCCTGGTCTCGCTGGGCACCCACAGCCAGGTGAAGGGTTTATTGTGTTTTTTCTTTAATAGAACCATGCTATAAGTACAGGCATCTGTGGGTGAGGTTGGCAGCAGATGCAGTTCAGCATCCAGATGGCAAATTGTATTTCATTTGCCTGACTTCACACAGCTCTGGGCTCCCTGCCCCGGAGCCAAATGTATCATCAAGTTAAATACCAACAGCCGCATCCTGACGGCAGCGCTGGCAGAAGGGAATCAGCATCGCACCCCTGCCGACAAGTGGGCGCACCCCCCCTGCCGACGCCTGGGGCCCCGGCGCTTCCCAGCCACATGGCTGGAGGCAATGGATGTGCAGCAGCCTGGAGAGCCCAGGACAGGCTGTCAGAACAAGGCCAGGCTCACTCCTAACATGCCCAGCAAGGCTGCAGTGGCTTTGCCTTTGTCAGAGACAGACACATGCTCCTGAAAAACACGGTCAGCCCAACAGAAACCCCAATGCATAAGGGGAAAGGGGCTCTGCAAGACCCTCTGGTAGTTTGTGAAGCAGTTTGCAAGGTTCCTTCCAGCCCCAGCAAGACCTGTTCTGGGTTTAGAGATGTTGGGGTGGAGAATGAAGGAGACGGATCATCTGACTTCACCCAGCCTCCCGCTCAGTGACCACCCTGAACGTCCAGTACATGCAGCAGGACGTCAGGTCCCAAACTGGAGTGACCCTCGCCTCTCTGCTGGGCCATTTCCCTCTTCCCAGCCCCTCCTTTGGGGACAAACAAGACAGTGACGTGCACCCAGCTCATGCTGGAGCTGCTCCCCGTGGGGGGATTTGGGGTAAGGCCTGTGCCAGACCCTCAGAACCACACACAGCTTGGAGGGAGACAAAAAACCCCACATTCTCCTGATCATTTTTTTTAACAAAGCTTGCCTGCCCAGCAAGGCAGCCTGCTGATGTGGCTGCGAGCGGAGAACAGGCGCTGCGCGTGGCTCAGCCGGTCCCCGCAGCCTCACCAGGGTCAGACCATCCTCTGCCCCCATTTCAGCACAACCAGGACAGACGAACCTGGGCTGTAGGGTGAGATGTTGCTCAAAGGAAAGTCTTTTCTCTCCCTCCTGCCCTGCTGCTCAGGTCTCTGGGATGGGGGTGCTTTCCCCCCTGCAGAGGCTGGCCACCCCCAATAGCCCTGGGAGTCCCAGCGCCCTGCTGTCCTTTCACCCTGCAGAGCCCAAACCCAGGGCAGCAACAAGCCTGCCTGGAGAAAGGGAATTCCTACTCCACCCATTTCAAACTCTTGGCTTTTTCCTTGATTCTTTAACCATTTAGTTACCCCAAAGCTCTGATGGGACCCTGGTAGGAAGAACTCTGTGCCAGGAGACCCAAACACACATATCCTGCACTGCAGGAGCTCCTAAGGGGCTCCCCAACGGTCTCCAGGCACGTTTTGCCTAAAGAAAACACCTAGCTCTGACACTCAGTTGGTCTTCCTAACACACACCAATAAAGCTGCAGTGCCATTTCCTTGGGACCTGCCTCACGCTGCGATGGAGCCAGTTTCCCAGGAGCTGCATCACTTTCCTGCAGCAGCACCCAGCAGTGGTGACCGGGTCTGAGTCCCCAGAGAAAGAAAAGCATCTCTTGCCCCCAGTGGGACATGCCATGGTGTGAGGGGTGACACGCAGCCTGGACCAGGTGAAATATTTGTGTTGTACTTCTGGTGTTAAAAATTGCAGGAGGTAACTGAACCACATGGAAATCTTGGCAAACATTTTTGGCCAATGTAAAAGATGTTTCAGAGGACACAAAGCATTTCAGATTTTCTTTTACAAATTATAGTTGTCTTCTTTTCTCTTCACATAGAGTTAGAGAAAAAAATGTATACAAGTGGATGCAAAATACACCGTGGTCACCCAGAAATGAAGGTCTCCAGAAATTTCCATTTGGCCTCTAAATCAGAGAGCCCCAGGTTGTACTGCTCTACCACAGAGTTGTTCCCAACAGCTGCCGTGAAGCTCCAAAGAGCTTGACAAAAGGGCATGGAAGAGCTGTCCCCCATGGCTCTGGGGCCACCTCGCCGTACGCCCCAGGGAGACACTCACCATGCAGCACCAGGATCCGGCCCCGCACCTCGATGGACAGCTTCAGCTGGCCTGGAGGAAAGGAGAGGAGGGATGGTGAAGGAGGCAGGGCTCACACGAAGCCCCCGGTACCCAGCAGCGCGAGGACCCTGCGGCTCCGAGGTTTGCACAGGGCCAAACCCATCCTGCTTCCCCCTGGGCATGGGGGCATCGCTCAGGGAGAAAGAGGTGGGAGGAAATATCTCCTGCTACAAAGAAAGCCTGACGGCTCCAGATGCAAAAACGTTCCAGGAAAACCTGAACATTGTTTTCTCAGCGCACAGTAAACCCTGGTGGCGGAGGGCACGAGCCCACGGCAGAGGGGAGGTCGGAGCACAAAGATGGAACAGGTGCTGTGGGATGGATCAGCCCTTGTCTGCGGGATGCAGCACGCTCAAATCCTCCCCCAGCCCCAATTCAACTTCCCCTTTGCCTCCCCCCGGGCTTCTGTGCGGGCAAGGGGCTGTCACCCCTGCAGAAGGTGACCGGGGCCAAGCTGCAGACAGCCTGGACAAACGCCAAGGACAACGGGAGCCTTTGGTGGCAGGAACACGGCAGTGCAGGGTCAGCCAGGGCTGGTCCCAAGGGGGAGGATGGGGCCACGGCACCGACCCGCTTTCATCCATCCACTGCTGCAGGACCATGCTCCGTGCACGCCGCCTCCCTGCTGCATCTGTGCAGAGCTTCTGGGGAATCGGGAAAGCCTCGGAAACCCCTGTGCCGACTGTCACATCCAGGAACAGTTTGTTATCACTGGCAGAATCAAGGAAAGACACGGCGACAAGGAGCAAAGCAGCACTGCCGGCAGCACAAACCCACCCCAGGAACCCCAGCAACCCCATCGCAGCCTCCCGCGTTCCCTGGGGATCCCACACAGGACGCGCTGGGGAGCCCACAGGTCATCTCCTAAAACCAGCAGTTGATACTCGCTTTAATCTAGGATTAAAGAAGAATTATTTCAGTCACGGGTTTCCACACTGCCAGGTGGCCAGCGAGGGCAGGAGCAGCCAAACCCCCGGGATGAGCAGCGCTCCACCACCCTGCCCCCCCTCTGCTGCAGACCCCCTGGGGGCTCAGACCAAAGGGGACCCCAGTTCCCAGTGAGGCAGCACCTCCAGGGAAGCTCCAGCTCCCTGCGCGAGACCACCAAGAGCTTCTGGTTGAGGAGGTGGTGGCTGGGGAGAGCCTTGAGGAGCGACCTGAAAAAACATGACTTTGGGGCAGGTCTGGATGGAGAACCCCCTTGCTCTCAACGCACCAGCTCACCCACTACCATCCACCAAGGTGGGATGCAGGGTCTGCCGGGGTGCCCGGCTCCTGGCTCCCAGCTCCTGAGCCCTGCAGGGACCTGCTGCCCATCGTCATGGGGAGCAGAGCAAGGAGCACAGTCAGAGATCAACGGCAGGACGGTTCCAATCATCATCAACAGGCCAAAAGAGCAGATCTGTGAGCTGCTGGAGCTGGACCAGGGGAGGGCTGTGAAGATGATCAGATGCTGGAGCACCTCCCCTGGGGTTGTGCAGCCTGGAGAAGAGAAGGCTCCGGGGGGACCTTCCAGCACCTTCCAGTGCTGAAAGGGGGCTACAGGAGAGATGGGGAAACACTCTTTATCAGGGAGAGTAGTGAGAGGACA